ATTTAACTCAAATTGTAGTTCTATTCAGGGTCACACATTTTGTGTATTAAAACCAAGCTACTTTTAGCTTTGGGTATTTTTTTGTAAAGCTCATACAAATAATGTGGCAAGCGTGCACCAAGATTACGAAAAAACAATCAACTTAGCATGTCGTTTTGCTATTCTATCCCAGCCGACCAAATATCCGCAAACGATATCGTAAGCAGATGTTTGCGGACGCTGTGCGGATGACACTAATGAAAATGATAATCGCTAACAGGCTAACCTAATATTCGCGGGGCTTGCGTTTTGGTACGCACGGCGTCGAATTTGTTTTTTTGCGTCACCCGAAATTGGCTTGCGTGAGTTTGCACTTGATTTCATTGTGCGAAACGTCAAATCAAAATGTCACGCAGAACAAAAATTGGAAATTAAGTTAGCTTCATACGCACGCCGTTCAATTTTGGTAGATCCCATACATGTCGCATGCGCATGAGAAATTTTTGACAATAAATTGGCGGCGTGCGTGAATGTTAGGTTAGCCTGTAACCGAAATTTTTCAGATATATTACCATCATTTATGAACTCAAATTGTAGTTCTATTCAGGGTCATACATTTTGTGTTTGGTTTGTAGCAAACGCATGCAAATACAAATCTAAAAGCAAGGTGTATTAAAACCACGCTACTTTTGGCTTTGCGTATTTTTTGTAAAGTTCATACAAATAATGTGGCAAGCGTGTTTGGAATAAAATGTGGCCAGCGTGTTAAGAATAAAAACCAATCAACTGAGCATGTCGTTTTGCCATTCCATCCCAGCCGACCAAATATCCGCAAAAGATATCGTAAGCAGATGTTTTGCGGACGCTGTGCGGATGAAACTAATGAAAACGATAATCGCTAACCGAACTTTTTCAGAACTTTTTTCCACAACGCGTTGCTCTGTTTGTGGCAGGCAAAGTACCGTTCTCAAAGGTTTGTAAACGTCTCTTTAGCGGATCACTTTGAATAGTTTTTCAAACGTATGTTTTTCCCTGTCCCGTTGCTATTTTGGTCTTTCCATATAAATATACTGAATAATTTATGACAAACTAACAATCCATTTGCCGCCTCTTTACTAATTATTAGCAGATACACATTTTGCTGAACTAATTCGTTCTGAAAGATTTCCCTTTTATGAAAAATTATGGAGCCAACGAATTATTTAGGGAACCTTTACTTTCACAAATTCTTTGCCAACTCTAACCTCAGTTTTTATGTCGGTTGGGATACTTTGCATCGGTGGTCGGCATACTAACACATTAAAACATTCAATGAGTCAGACTGTGTGCGTTGAAAGCACCGCTCAGCAGAGTTAGAACCCCGGGGTGCCTCAATCGGAGTAAATCATAGTAGAAAATAAAATTCCGTAAATTTTGTATACCTTATTCGTTTACATACATATATTTACATAGACGTATATACATACAAGTAGGTAATACGAACATTTTGTATTTTTTTAATAACCTATAGCAGAGGCTGGCATTTATTTATTTCCCAAACACATTTTTTATTTTTTTTAATTATACTTGCGTTTATTTGTTGGATCTGCTTATTTTACATCTATTAAGCCTAACAACAAGTTTAAAAATCTTACGTCTAATTTTACAATAATGTAGTTCAAACCCTGGGGTTGAGCCCTGTTGGTTTAACGTCGCTCAATTAAAGGCTGGTAGATCTCTTCTTCGCAGGCGTGTTATATTTGTTGTGTTGCACATGCCACTTGCCAGTGGATTTGGGTGGTTACGAAGTTTTATTTTGTATTTTTCTCTGCTTCTGTCGATTACAGATTTAACCATCGGTATATAAGGTCTGTATGTATATTTTCATTGCGGACATACCACGGTGCTCCCGTTAAGGCCCTTAGCGTTTTAGATTGGAATCTTTGGATCCTGTCAATGTTGGTTTCACAGGTCGTACCCCACAGTTGAATACCATACATCCATATAGGCTTAATCACTGTATTATATACAAGTACTTTATAATCTAGTTTCAGTTTTGATTTACTGTTTATAAGCCAGTTCACGCTAGATGACTTTAGCTTCATTTGTGTAATCTTGGTTGATATGTGTTTGCGCCAAGTTAGTCTCCCATCCAAGTGTATTTCTAGATATTTCACCTCATTGGCTTGTGGAATATGGACATTATTTAATTTGATTGGGGGACATACTTGCGGTCTGAGTGAAAATGTTGTATGTTTACTCTTCTGTTCGTTGACTTTTATCCGCCAGTTTGCCAGCCTTTCTTCTATGCGTAGTAAATGTTCCTGTAGTACTCTTGAAGCTCTGTTGTGACATTTATTACGACTTACTAAGGCGGTATCATCAGCAAAGGTGGATGTGAGTATATTCTTGCTAGTTGGAATATCTGAAGTGTAGATGATATACAGCATAGGCCCGAGTACACTACCTTGAGGAACGCCAGCCGTTATCGACATGTCTTCTGAAGTGAAATTAGATACTTTAACAGCAAATTTTCTGTTAGTTATGTATGATTCAAATATTTTGTGGAATTCCGGCGGGAACAATTTTTTTAATTTTATATATAAGACCGTCGTGCCACACTTTGTCGAATGCTTGTGCCACATCGAGAAAAATTGCAGAGCAGTACTCTCTGAGCTCAAATGCCCTTCTGATTTCATTTGTAATTCGATTAACTTGTTCAATTGTATCATGTTTTTCTCGGAAGCCAAATTGGTGTGCTGGTATTAAATTGCGTTCATGGAGAAAGGGAGATATCTTTGCTAGGAGTACTTTTTCGAATACTTTGCAAAGACAGGGCAGTAAGCTTATTGGTCTGTATGAGGACGGCTGTGCTGCGTCTTTTCCAGGTTTGACTATCATGATTATCTTCGACCTTTTCCATGATGATTTCGGAAAGTAACCGAATTTGAGGATAGCGTTGAAAAGGTCAGAAAGAATGGCTAGTGCAACATTCGGTAGCTCTATTAGCATTTTCGGAGTTATAAAATCAGCACCCGGCGATTTCTTGGGATTAAGCTGCTTTACTATAGCTTTTACTTCTAAAGAGTTCGTCTTGCTAGGTGTGTATAGCTCATTTGTATTTTTGGTTAGCCGTGGCAGCCTGAAGTTGTTCGTTGGACAGTTTGGCTGAAACACATTCTTTAAATGGTGTGAAAAACACTCGGCTCTCTCCTGCTCACTACGAGCCCAGGTTCCACATTGGTTCCTAATTGCCATGTCTGTAGCCACTGGTGGTTTGAAGTATTTTAGCGATTTCCATAGAGAGTATCTTTCAGTAGAATTTGGGGGAAAGCTTCTTAATGTACCTTTGCACTGTCTTCTTAGGCGCCGCTTTTCTGCCACAAGTTTTTCTATTTCGGTATTTGTAACTGATGTATGCGTAGGTGGTACTTAGACTTGATTTGGTGTTGCCAGGCCAGCGGCTGAAGTAAAGGTTTCTTTAAAATGTTCAACGAGAATGAAGACGAGGCTCAATTTCGATAATTTGGGTCTGTTCATATAGTTTTATTAATATAGGGGGGTGATCGGATGATAGTTCAGGTAGGGTTTCTGCTGTTATGTTATTTCTGTATATGTTTCTTGTAATTGCGAAATCTGTTAGGTCTGGTATCTTCTATATATCGGTAGGCCAGTAAGTAGGTTTACCAGGAGATGTGACCTCTAGTCTATTGTGCCTGTTTATAATGGTATTGTATAGCTGCCGCCCTTTTAGGTTAATAAGGCGTGATCCCCAGTACGTATGCTTTGCGTTGAAGTCGCCTCCTGCCAGGAATCTATTACCCAGGCTGTCAAATAAATCTTTAAAGTCATTTTCAGAAATTAAAAATCGCGGTAGGCAATAAATAGCCGATAGATTCAAGTCTCGGTCGCGGTTTCGTAAGCATATGGTAGTTGCTTGCAGACAGGCTGTTGCTTTTGACTCTAGAATATTGTGCTTTAGACGATTTCTAATCAGCACCGCTGTGCCTCCATGAGCTTTACCATCTGGGTGATTTGTGGCATAGAATTTGTATCCAGGTATGGAGAAATTATATTTATTTGTTAAATGTGTCTCGGACAGTAGCATAACATCTATGTTGTATTCAGTGAGAAATTTACTGAGCTGTAATCTACGCTGGTTTACACCGTTAGCATTCCATAAGCAAATTTTCAATTCACTCATTCTTTATTCACTAAAATTTGCAACAATTGGTTTTGAGCCTTTATGAGGTCTTGAATCATATTTTGCATAGTAGACATGAACTGAGTCATACAATGAGTAAGATTCAATATCATTCCTTCTATGCCACAAGTAGGGGGGTTCGGCTGCATTTCCTCAGTATTATTCCTTTGAATATTTGCAAATGTTTCTTGATTGGAGTTTGATTTCGCCGTGCTTGGCTGCGTTTGTAGTCTTAACGCGTCGGCAAAAGAAAAGTTGGGAGCTCGCTGCGCATTGGCAAAAAAGGCTCCTGGTGTAGTGGTTGATGGCGTGAGGTGTTGGTATGTAGTATAAGAGCTAGTTGGAGTGGTGGAAGAGCGTACGGCTGTGTTGCGCTGATTCATGCGAGACTTTAAGTCTTTGTATACAGGGCATCCCCTATAATTGGCGGTGTGGTTACCTCCGCAATTACTGCATTTCTTTACAGCCACATCATCTTTGATAGCCTTGCAAGAAGCGGAAGCGTGAAGGTCGCCAGAGGCAAGACACACTGGGCGCAAGGTACAGTATGTTCTGGTGTGCCCAAATTCTTGACAATTTGTGCCCTGTACGGGACCGTTTCGCTTGTGCGGCTCCTCCACTGTTATTCCTCGGTGTAGAAGGTATCGTAGATTGTAGATTGGGTGCACTGCGTTTTTATTCATTGGCTTTGTTTCTGGCTTAAGTTATACCTTAAACATAGGCTGAGCGATTTTTGCTCTGTTGATAATATTGACAACATTTTTAACAGAAAATCCTGCCTTCTCTAGAGCATGAGCAATATCAGCAATGGGTACACTTGATTCTATACCTTTTATTACTACTTGCAGTCCTTTGCTGCTTTTGTGCTGGTACGTATAGAAGTTTTCTTATCTTCATTAAGGTGTTTGGTTACCAACCAGTAATTTTCTTCAGTTAGAATCTGCTTATTGTCTCCAATAAGCTGAGTTAAATTATTCACGAGCTCACTATAGCTTTGCTCTCGTAAATAAATTGGGGGCGGTTTGGGTTTGGCTTTAGAAACTTCATTCGGCTCTTTGTCACATTCATTGTGCAGAATCGCAAACTTATTTCCCAGTAGAGGGTTAATGTCAATGGTTTTCGTTTTTGCAATTTTTGATGGGTTTGCAATTTTTTGCTGCTGTGGGCTTAATTTTCGTTTGACTTGTATATACCTATCAATACCCGTTTGAGTCAATGTACGGGTTGTTGGATTAAGTAGGTCAACTTGCGCTGAGCTGCGTTGCTTGGCTTGGGCTGGTGCCGAAATTTCCGTTTGTGCAGGTGGGGGTGAACTGCGTTGTGAAACCGCTGTAATTTCTGAAGTCGTGGTTGTTGTAGTTGTTGTGAGAGCTGCGCTTACCGTTGTTACTGTGCTTGTTGCTAAGCTAGTGCTTTGTTGTTGCGTTAGAACAACTTGGTCTACCAGAGACATTAGCGACTGTGCATGCCAAGGTGTTTGGAGGGAGGGAGAGAACGATTTATCGCGATCAGCATTATTTGTGGGGGAAACGAACGAAAAGTAAGCATTTCGTCGATCAGCGGAATGCTTTTGGTCATCTTCTGTTACGGCAAGGTTTATTTCACTTGTTTCACTACTATTCGGTAAGCGCGGTGGGGCAGGAGCTGCTTTTATTTTATTGTATGTTGGCACATTTATTTGAATTTCTTGCGGCATTGCGAAAATTCTGAAAAAGTAATTTATAATTATAGGCAAATAAGCAGAAAGCTTATTTATGCCTAGTATTGTCTTTTCGCGTTGTTCTGTTTTTTTCTTCTTTGCTTTACGTGAATTATTAATAATTTCTTGGCGGAGCGATTAAAAAACACGTCCGCACAGGTTGACAGTCAATTCCAAACAAATGTAATTGGGCTTCAAAATGCTGCTTGCTGCGACGTCAACACATGTATACTATCATCGTCTTCGAGCGTCTTACGATAATTGACGATTGACTGATGCTTCGCTGGTATTTCGGCAAAGTAAATCAAATCAGTTTCTGTTGAGAGTGTTCGGACGAAAAAAGTTTTAAAATTGTGGTACATTCCAAAACAATGTGGTAGATGCAAATAAATAAATGTATAAATATGTTACATGCACTTATGGTCAGCTGATTGAGTTAAGTGACATTTTGACCCGTTTTGGCTATTTATATTTTTGTTTATTTAATGTTGTATTTTTTTTGCTGACGGTGCTAGGCATTTTCTCCCATATAAAAGAAATTGCCAATCATTAAAAATCAACGCGATTTTTTAGCGCTTGAAATTTACACTTTGAGCTACTAAATTTTAATGGGCTATAAAACTGCATACCTAAAACTTTTCTAGAAATTCTAAATAAAAAACCAAAGCGACAGAATAAGATGCTTTTTTTTTAGAAATTACCTGTCATGTTCTGATAGACATTGATAATTTTCGTGTTGATGTATATTATTTCACCAACCATACATTTAATAAAGAACGCTGCTTTTAATTCTAAAAGCTTCAGTGTTCGATTACACTCTTTCATCTTTTAAAAATGACTATGTAATGTCTTTTTAAACAAGACATAACATTGGGAGTCATAACGCGATTGCAGATCACGCATTGCGCACACCAATCCATATTTTCTATGCAAAAAAAATGTATTTCCCATTCCTCCCGAAACATTTTATGTGTGTATTATTCGAATAGTTGCGCAGTGAAGTCTCAGCAGCAACTAATTTGATTTGCTTTGCCGAAGTGCTAGCAAAGCATCAGTCAATCGTCAATTATCGTAAGACGCATATATATTGTATATTTCTGTTTGTATATTTGATTTTTTTTTTGGGATACTTCGGAGACCCTTAAAAAATAGTTAAAATTAAAAAATGTTTAAATAAACAATTGGGCATTATTCTCTGAAGTCTTCTGAAGAGAAGCAGAGTTTTCAGATTGAAAAATTTTGATTTCCATGGATTCTATGCCATTTCTACGAAAAGTCTTTTTTCCCATACAAAATACATGGGAAACTTTGAGCGCTTTGAGCGACCTCTAAATATATTTTGATTTTAAAATAAAAAAACAGGGGTATATTTTTTTTCGGTATAGAACAATCCTAGGGGGTGAGAGCATTAAATTTCCGGCTTTACTTTTTTTTGGACCACCCTAATGTACATGCAATGTTTGCGCTCTTTCTGCTCACTCTCTCAACGATTTCATAAAAAACGGAATGTTACTATCTTGACGATGCCAACGATGCGGCGATTCTGTGATGCTAAATATACAGTTAAGTAGCACGTACTCGCCGCATCGGCATCGCCGATTATTAATATGTTACCTTTTTATGTAATCGTGCAGCTCTCTAGTAAAAACATATTTGAAAAGAAACCAAAAAAATTTAAAAAGTAGTAGTTATGTAGAAAAGGAGCATATATGTATTGCTATATTTTGGTACCTTTCAGTCCGAGATTTGCGTGAAGTATTCAAAATTTATTATTTTTATTTAAATGATAAATATTTTTTTTGGATTCTGCTTTCTTGGCAGGTTACCTTAGCGGAATACACAACACCAGGTTATCCCTCCTTGCTAGATGTATCTTTATGACTGGGCAGCGTGTAAAACTTGTTTCCAAAGGCTCAGCGTCAGCAAATTGATTGTCCAGGGTGGGAAATGTGGTGATTGTACGAGAGTGTAGAGAAGAGCGTGTTGCGAGTAAAGCATTCTTCACTCAAAATCGGTACGCATAAAAATGGGTTATATCTTTTTAACAGGTTTTCAGAAAATAATATTTAATATATTAAAATAAAGGGAAGCATTCCGCTATAGATAGATGTTAGCGAAAGTTTCATATTTTGCTTGGATAAATAAATAACAGACAATTTCTTTGATAATGATGAACCACCGTTCCAGAGACTTGAGTAGTCAACTTGTTCCACTAAACTATCTTTAGTTTATGTTTTCCCATAGTTTGCACATCTCTATCAATTTTGTTTTAAATAAATACCGTGTATTTTTCGATTTGACGTAAACAGGACATATTCGTAAATTGATGAGTTCCAAAACTTTATTCATATCTTTGACTTCAAACCGCTTTAAAGTTACCTGTGAATAATTAATTTTCATTGAAACCAACCAAAACTTTACTGAAGGTCTAAAGTAAATGATACAATGGCTTAACACTTTTTGCAAGCGCTCCTTCCAGCATATTTCTGGGATCATATGACCTATTGTGGAGTATGATCAAGTTTTAATGAGACTGTTTCGATTCTCTAGTTATTTCATATCCCTTTGGCAACTGTGTCAACTTGTATAAATTTAGTTTTAAGAGGATATCACCCTGTGTCTTTTTAGCTTAAAACTTTTAACGTTGGAGTTGACCGAAGTCAAGTTTTAAACATGTTTTTTTAGTCATTACTAAAGAATATCACATTTGGTGTGAACATTGGGGTGCGGTTTTTGTTATAAAATTTATTTAATCTAACAGAATTATATATATTTAAACTCGATAAGGTTTAAGTCTTGCCATAGCTTCCATTTGTTGAACTGTGGAGAATCGTTTTCCGATTCTCTCGCGCGATTTTCTTCTGATAAGCCGTTTTTTTTATAATTGAGGTAAAGAGCCTTATCCTTAAGCTGATGCGAAATGATGTTTTTTGATGATTAGCTTACTCTGTTTGTTTAAGCAGAAGGAATCCATTCATTGATTTTTCGAGGAAAGTTTTTGGTATATTTAATTTTAATTTGATTTTTGATCTCGAGAATGTCGGATTTTCAACGAATTCGTTCAACATTATTTTTTGAGCAGTCATTTCCAACGCGAATAAAACTGTAAAATTAAAAGCCAGTACCTCATAATGGTAGATCTATTGTCTAACGATCTGCATTGCAACTTTTTAATACATTCAAACAATTGCTCTACAGGAATTGCTGGAACGCGTACCGATTTTGAGTGAAAAATGCTTTAAACGGTTTGCACTGGTTGACACATATGTATTGTAGCGAGTGTCAAAAGTGGACTCTATGTGACTGGGCTAAGTGGAACGATTTTTTTTTTGGTTTTTTATTTAATATAAAATAAACATATCAAACAAATTACAACATGTAAACATATAATTGGTGATGTGAGCATGAGAAAGGCACACATATTATATGCATGTTAAGAAATTTAAAAATTAAATTTGGCTTTTTGTAGGAAACGAGAGAGTTGAGTCTTTTTGAATAAGAATCTCTTCAGAAATGCTTCAGTTGTTGACTACAGGAATACCGGGTCTTAAATTTTTAAAGAAGCGACAGCTGAAAGTTTGGTGAATGTAGTCATCGATTTGACCACAACGGCATCTTGGATTATTTACAGCTTTGATTTTGCATATATATGCTTTGTCATACGTGTGCCCTGTAAGGACCCTATTCAGTGACTTGATATCAGACGGGGAAAGCGAAAGCTTTCTAAACCAAGTGGAAAAGGAAAGATTTTGGCAAAGAGACTAGGATTTGAGCGGGAGTAACTCAGAAGTTCTGAGTACCATGATTGAACATTTCATTTTTAATCTGCTTTAAGGCTTCGTCTACGGTGAGATTGACTGTTTTGAGTGGACTATCAGAGGTAGCGGCTTTAGCTACTTCGTCAGTTTTTTCATTGACATGAATGCCTACATAGCCAGGGGTCCATATGAGGTAGACATGTATGTCAGGGTGAATAATTAATCTTTTGTGAATTCTGTGAGCTATGTGTTCTTTGAATGAGGGATTTTGAGGATTTGGCATGCGGTTTGGCTATCGGTGAAGACAACAAGGCGCGTGCGATTTTCTTCGATTGCAAGGTTGACTGCCTTATCAGTTGCCAGAAGCTTCCCAAAAGTGGAGGACGCCCTGAAGCCAATTTGGAAGGAGTACGTTTTGTTGGACGTGTGATCATAGATTCCACATCCAATGTTGTCTTCAGAGATAGAGGCATCTGTGTAGATAACGTGGAATAGGCCGGCTTGGTATTAATTTAAGACTGAAAGGTGATGAACTTCAACGCATTCATTAGACATGTCTGATTTTTTTAGAGGGAGACTTTTTATGCAAACTTTCAAGTTGTTTGAAGGGAGATGTCCATCAATCGCATCAATGCAATCAAAAAGGCGAGAGAATCTATTTTAAAGTGAAGAGTAGCTAGAATTGATTGTGGGACTGGAAATTAACGAATGTATGATGGTGGAACGTCTGGAAAAGAGATTAATCAATTCTTTGGCAGTGAGCCAGACGGATCTTTCCAGCGGCGGGTGCTCTTTGGAGAGTGCATATATAAGAGAGTGAAGTCCTGATTTCATATTTGTTAAGAGTTTAAAATTCTTGATGTTTTTGGAGTCATTTTCGACTATCATGGAGTAATGATCGCCGACTGAAAACAAGCTGTAAATAAACCCTCCGAGAATCTTGATGCTGTTGGTTTGTGTGATGGTAACACCATTTAGGTCAACGCTTATTTCCTTTTTTGGACCTCTCGACACATGCATTAGGTGAGTTTTCGTAGGATTAAAGTTAAGACTAAGTTATTTAGTTTATTTTGTAAGTTCCTTTGGACATATAAAAGGTTTGAGCCAGATGATATAATAGAGAAATCATGGGCGAACTGAAACAAGTGGGCGTCGTCGTCGTTGAGGTCATGGAGACTGGCGGTATAGGTAATGTGACCAACTATTTCATAGCTGAAAGAAGTACAGGTTTGGTTGCGT